ATTGCCATAGACAAGAGCACTTCCAGAGCTGCACACGTTTGTTGAAACATCTCAATTGGTATTCCATCGATTCCTGGAACCTTGTTTTTTGCCAGTGCCTTCAGTGTAGCTTGGACCTCTTCCTTCAGTACCATCGGTTTCTAATCATGTGCTGCCTCCTGAGATGGTTGAAGTCTAGGAGACTAGCAGTCTGAATTCAGAGTACAAGCTCCAGGGGAAGGCTTTCTCTTTCTGTTGGCTCTGGGGAAAGGTCCTTGTCATCAATCTTCCCCCGTCGGGGAGCGTCTCAGCACAGGGACCCCGGGTCCAAAGGATGTGCTTTTCTCCTAGCTCTTGTTTCTTAGTGGGATGAGGTCCCCCTGTTTCTCTGCTGGCTTCTCTCTTTTATATCTCAGAAGAGATTGACTCAAGATACAACCTAATCTTGTAGATTGAGTCCTACCTCATTAACATAACTGCCTCTAATTCTGTCTCATTAACATAGAGGTAGGATTTACAACACATAGGAAAATCACATCAGATCACAGAATGGTGGACAGTCACACAGTACTAGCAATCATGGCCTAGCCAAGTTGGCACACATTTTTGAGGGGCACAATTTGATTCATAACAGATACTTAATGCCAACATTCTTTTCTAAGTAGGCTAAAGTATTATTTGGTTCAGCAAAGACTTCAGGGGATAATTTCAGTTCAAGGTTTAAAGATTTTCTCAGGGTAATAGTATTGGGGGTGTCATCTGACCTCAATGGCTCCAGAATGTCTAGATTCCATGAGAATTTTAAATATTGTTCCTCATTCCCCCTTTTGATTGTGGTTTGCTTTGGTTTTAATATCCTGTGGCCTTGTAGGAGCAAGCCCAAGAAGTGACTTGTCTGCTTTCTTATGTGGGCCTGAGGGGCCTTTCTATGAGATGAGAAGGTAGACCAGATACTCTTTCTGGTCCCTTCCTCCTGTGACATTCTCAGCTGCTGGAATGTGAAGAAGACACACCAGGCATACCTCAGCCTCCTCAAGAGAGCTCCCCTGTACCAGCCCCTTCCTAGGGCACTGTGTTCCTCCCCTGGAGGAACTCTGGGGGCAGAGTCTGGTTTTAGAGTCACCCTTTCTCCTAGGAAGTTTTCCTAGTGTCCTAAGGACAGGTCTGCTTTGCATCTCTCCCTACTGGTCATATTGTCTCTTAGTCTGGAGTGATTGAGCTTGGACACTTATTCTTGCCTCGTCTTCCCTGACCTTCCTCACCGCCTTCTCTCTTTCACATAGCAGGGATGCCATTTAGTCAGTGACTTTTATGCTTTGCAAAATCCTTTTTATGCACATGTTTTAATCAGCTTATGGTGATCACAGGAAGTCAGAAGAACAGGAAAACTTAATGCCACTCTACAAATGACAAGATGAGGGTCTGAAGGTCAGCCATTTGTCCAAGTTCCCTCTGTAGCAAAGGAGCCCTGGTGGCACTAAGGTTAAGTGCTTGGCTGCTAACCGAAAGGTTGGTGATTCAAACCGACCCAGCAGCTCTGCAGGAGAAAAGACCTAGTGATCTGCTCCTGTAAAGATCACAGCCTAGAAAACCCTATGGGGCAGTTCTACTCTATCACTTGGGGTTGCTATGAGTCAGAGTCAACTCAGCAGCACCCAACATCAACCTCTGCAGTAAGAGGTAGAGATGAGACTAGGGCGCTGGGCTCCTGAGGCCAAGCCCTGTCTGTCTGCCGCCTGCCCTCCCTCCACCAGCCGCCCTTCTTGCCCCATCTAGCCTTTCTGCAGATGTCCCTAAGGTAGAGGTGTTGGAAGGGGAGCTGGCCTGGCTGAAGGAGCACCTGTCCCAGTTGGACTCCCCGGTGGTGTTTTGTCACAATGACCTGCTCTGCAAGAATATCATCTATGACAGCACCAAAGGTACGGCTTCTGTGGCCCTGGCCGGGTAGCAGCAAAGCTTCGGCTGATTGGTCAGCTGGCTCCAGGGTCCTGCTCTGCAGGCTGGCTCATGGTCAAGCATAAGGAAACCCTCTAGTCTAGGGCTTATGCTAATTTGTATCTCAAAGGAGAGAAGGGGAAAAGGAAACAGGAATTCCTACTTAGAAAAATGTATGTCTAGAAAGAATTCAAATACATGATTTGTGGAGGCTGTCAATGTTAGGGCACCCAAGCCATTCCTCCTACGAGCTCCTTGGATTTCCAAGGATGCATAGCTGGCCCAAGGCCTTCATAGTGAGAGCCTGCTGGTGTTCCCAATGAGGGCTTCACCCGCCAGTAGTGCTTAGCTTTATGGTCTGATCCCCAGCCCTGCTGAGGATAGATGTCATTAGATGGGGAGAGGCTGAGGATCCAGCTGTATGAGGGGGACCCCTGCACTGGGGACGAGCAAATGGACAGATGGAAGGAAGCAGCTTAGAAGACTGCTAAAGAGGCGGTTGGGTTAGGCTGGGGAACTGGAGAGGCCAGCGAGAGTCAGTGGGTACATTCCCGAAATCTGGAGAAACCTTAACCAGGCCCTATTTCTAGATCCCTGGGGACCCACCCTCATTGCTTCTCCTCTGTCTCATAGGTCATGTACGGTTCATTGACTATGAATATGCTGACTACAACTACCAAGCGTATGACATTGGCAACCATTTCAATGAGTTTGCAGGTGAGAGGGGCATTACTCTTTGACCTGTGTGCAGGCCATCCCTTCTGATGGAGGGCTAGGTCCAGAGGGAGTCTGGGGGGACCTGCACTTCGTGTACTCGACAGCCCCTGTCCTCAGGGGTATCACACTTGAGAGGGGAAGATACAACCTGCCTTCAGAGAGCTCCAAGTCTCATGGGGAGGAAGGACCCACATAACACTGACCAGATCTCTGCTAGCCCATGTGGCAGTATGGTGTGAATTGGGAAAATGCTGCCTCTGTAGGATCCTTGAGGGTACTTGGCTTGGCATATGAGTTAGAAAAAGACCCCCTTCCTCTGGGCAGACACAGCCCCTGCCAACTTGGTCAGCACAGCACAGGATGACTTCAGCCCTCACTGGCCCCCGTCCAAGCTTTTTTATGTCCAGAACAACCTGCACTCTCGTACATAAGGGCCCTATGTGCAGCGAAGGAGCAGAACAAGCTGTAAGTAGTTATTTGCCTGAAGACATAATGAGAGTAATCGAGATGGAACTAGATAAAAGTGTGTACTCTGCAACTTGACTTCCCAAGTTCAAATCCTGATTTTGCAGCTTAGTAGCTGTGTGACCCTTGGACAGGAAGCTCCAGGGATGATGGGGCCTCAGCTGGGCAGAGCAGTTGGGCTGTAGGGTGGGGCACGGAGCAGAGGCTGGCACCGGCAGGGCACTGGGCCTGCTGAGTGCTCAGCTGCCAGGCCCGGTGGCCTTTCCAGAAGGGATCATTCTTAAGCATTTAAGTCCTGACCCACCACAGAGAGCAAAGTCCAGCTGAAATTTCTCCAAAGGGGCAGATTGCATCCCGCTCCCAAGTGGAGAATGGAGGAGGAAGCAGCTAGCATGGGGGAAGGAGGAGTGCAAATGAGGAGGACAGGAGCTGGGGACAGGGACCTCATGGGTTCTCAGGAGCAAGGAAGATACTGGACTGGGAGTTGGGAGATGAGAATTCCAACCGTGATCCCACTTCAAACTGGCCATGCGACCTTGGGCAAACGTTCTCTCTAGGCCTTTGTTTCTCCATCTGCATAAGAAGATCCTTCTCCAGTCTCGCCTTTGGCCTCAGGAGACTGGGTGTGTTTCTCCAGGAATACAAGGGACACTTGGGAAGGACATGAAGGAAAGAAGAGGGTGGAAGAGACCCTGGGGAAAGTGGCTCAGTCCTGGTCCTATCTTAAACAGACCACTTCTTTCTGTACCAGCTCTTAGCTCTTCGTGGCACCAGGGTCTCTGTCACCACGCCCAGGCTGTGATTGACATACACTGGGTTGGCAGTGTTAGGAAGCCCCGTAAAGCAGGCCTAGAAGGAATCAGAGCCATCCAGTCCAGGGTTTCGGAGCCTGGCCGATATCAGAATCATCTGGAGAATTGGACGGGAGCCTGTATGTTTACTAAGCTCTCCAGTGATGTTTCTAAGCAGCCAGCTCAACACCGATCCAAGAAGCAATGTTTGAGACCCACACATCAAGTCCAGCCCCCTCGTGACAAATGAAGAAATTTAGGCCGGTACGAAGAAGGGGGCATCCCTGGGTAGTGCAGATGGCTAAGCACTCGGCTGTGAACTGAAAGGTTGGCAATTTGAGTCCACCCAGAGGCACCTCGGAAGAAGGGCCTGGCAATCTGCTTCCGAAAGTCAGCCACTGAAAACCCTATGGAGCACAGTTGTACTCTGACACACATGGGGTTGCCGTGAGTCGGAATCGACTCAACAGCAACTGTTTTGTTTTTTTCTTTTTAGGAATAAAGGACTTGTCCAGGTTCACCTGGAGGTTAGCATTGGACCTAAGACTACTGGGACCCCTGGTTTAGTGTTTTAGCCAAGTGCCTCCTGCATGTGGAAGTTTTGCACAGGGCATGGGGGATACCATGGTGCTGGTCAAGACTGCCTGCTCCCTGCCTCGTAGGGTTCTGTCACTCCCAGGCCACGCTGTCCCCTCAACCAGTCTGCATCCCTCTGTACTCTCAACCCCACTGAAGCAGTGCCTCCACCTGGGATGGGTATAGACCCTCCGCACAGAGGGTGGGCTTGCTGGTCACAGACGCTGTGTGTTCCCAGGGCCGCCTCCTTGGGCACAGTCCTGAGCCGGGGGTGCAGGTCAAAGGAGGTGGAGGCTTTGAGGGGAGAAGGGAACGCCTACTGAGCTGGAGGAGACCCCAAGGGGGGCCATCTCCCAGCTCCTCTGTCTGGCCTGCCTCCCCATCAGGTGTGAATGAAGTCGATTACTGCCGGTACCCCTCGAGGGAGACCCAGCTGCTGTGGCTGCACGACTACCTGCAGGCACAAAAGGGGACGGCCGTGACCCCCAGGGAGGTGCAGAAGCTCTACGTGCAAGTCAACAAGTTTGCCCTGGTGAGTGCTTGTGACTGGGAGGGGCGGGGGAAGGAGGAGGCAGAGCCCAGGGGCAGGCGTGAGGGCCAGGGACACCCATCATGCTGCTCTGAGCCCCTGTCCTAGAGGTGAGGTTGGGCAGTCATTTTAGTTGTCCCTTTATTACTAAGATGCCCTGATCCCTGCTCCCCCGTGTCTTAGGCTAGAGGAGCAAAACCAGTTAAGCGCTTATATATATATATATGTTTATATATGTATAGAGAGAAAGAGAGAGACAGAAACTTCTCTCAAGAAAATAGCTCATACGGTCCAAGAGGTCGGCCAGTCACAAATCCTTGGGTCAGGCATCAGGCTGGAGGCTTCTCCTGACTCATGTGGTTGCAGGGGCTGATGAACCCAAAATTAGCAGGTCAGATGGCAGGCTACTGGCTCACAGGGTTGCGGGAGCTGGTGAATCCCAAAATCTGTAGGTCAGACGGCAGGCTGCTAGCTCACATCCCAAGAAATGAAGGTCAGAGGATGATGAGTCGAATGCAGGATCCACAGGGAGCTTTGCCAGAACATATATATGTATACACACACACACACACACACACACACACACACACACACACGCATGCACATATATATACATATGTATATTGGATGCAGGCCACACCCCCAAGGAAACTGATTGGCTTTCAACTGATTGGCTATTCATATCAGATCACAAAATGGAGGATGATTACATAATACCTACCAAACCACTGAGAATCATGGCCTAGCCAAGTTGACATCACCACCTTAACTGTCACCCCATTAACTCTAGCTTCTTTCTTTCCTAGAGAAATACTTCCAAGAAGGATTCTGTTACTTTCCCCAGCTTCCTATTTTAGCATTTCTCTCGTTTGGACAAGTAGTTCTTTTTTTTTTTAGAAATTAGATTTTATTTTATTGTTGTGCTTTAAGTGAAAGTTTACAATTCAAGTTAGTCTCTCATGCAAAAATTTATACATACATTGTTATATAACCCTAATTGCTCTCCCTATACTGTGATAGCACATTCCTCCTCTCCACCCTTGATTTCCTGTATCCATTCAACCAGCTCCTGACCCTCTCTGCCTTCTCATCTCACTTCTGGACAGAAGCTGCCCATTTAGTCTCATGTATCTACTTGAGCTAAGAAGCACACTCTTCACGAGTATTATTTTATGTCCCAGAGTCCAGTCTAATCTTTGTCTGAAGAGTTGGCCGTGGGAATGGTTTTAGTTCTGGGTTGCCAGAGAGTCTGGGGTTCCACCAGTCACAGTTGGACCATTAAGTCTGGTCTTTTTACTAGAATTTGAGTTCTGTATCCTACTTTTCTCCTGCTCTATCAAGGACTCTCTGTTGTGTTCCCTGTCAGGGTGGTCATTGGTGGTAGCCGGGCACCATCTGGTTCTTCTCCTCTCAGGCTGATGAAGTCTCTGGTTTGTGTGGCCCTTTCTGTCTCTTGGGCTAATACTTTCCTTGTGACTTTGGTGTTCTTCATTCTCCTTTACTCCAGGTGGGCTGGGACCAACTGATGCATCTTAGATGGCCGCTCGCTAGCTTTTAAGACCCCAGACGCCACTCACCAAAGTAGGATGCAGAACATTTTCTTTTTTTTTCATTTGGGAATATCTTTTATTTTTTATTTTATTTTATTTTTTTATTGTTGTGATTAAATGAAGTTTACATTTCAAGTTAGTCTCCCATACAAAATTTTTATACATACTTTGTTGTGAGACCCTAATTGCTCACCTCATTCTGCGACAGCACACTCCTCCCTTCCGCCCGATTCCCCATGACCGTTCAACCAGCTCCTGAACCTCTCTGCCTTCTGTTCTCACCTCTGGACAGAAGCTGCCCCTTTGGTCTCTTGTATCTACTTGACTAAGAGGCACACTCTTTGCGAGTATCACCTTACATCCCACAGTCCAGTCCAATTCCTGTCTGAAGAGTTAGCCTCGGTAATTGTTCTAGTTCTGGGCTGACAGAGAGTCCAGGGGCCATGCTTTCCGGGGCTCCTCCAGTCTCAGTCAGACCATTAAGTCTGGTCTTCTTACTAGAATTTGAGTTCTGCACCCCATCCTTCTACTGCTCCATCAGGGACCCTCTGTT